CCAGGAGGGGTTGTGGACTAGCAGGATTAAGGCCTTGGGGGACCAGGAGGGGTTGTGGACTAGCAGGGTTAGAAGAGTGGGGGGCTGGGAGAGGGTGTGGACTAGCAGGATTAGAGGAGTGGGGGCCAGGAGGGATGTGGACTAGCAGGGTTAGGGGAGTGGGGGGCCAGGAGCCATGTGGACTAGCAGGATTAGAGGAGTGGGGGGCCAGGAGCCATGTGGACTAGCAGGATTCAGGACCTGGGGTGCGGGGAGGGGGGGACACGGGAGCCTGCGAACAAAGAGTGAGCACTGTGGCCTGGAGCCCTTCTGAGCTCGCTGGGGTCCAACAGGCCTGGAGCCTCACCACTGCCCTTGCCGCAGGGCGTGATGGAGAGCTTCCTGGGCACTGCCATGGCCGGCTCCTTGTTCTGCCTCTTCTCGGGACAGCCTCTCATCATCCTCAGCAGCACGGGGCCCATCCTCATCTTCGAGAAGCTCCTCTTCGACTTCAGCAAGTAGGTGCCCCCGCTGCTGCCGGCGGTACCTGCCCTGACCCTTGGGGCTGAGCCGGGAGTCTGGGCAGAGGGAGAAGGGGTCCAAAAAGGCATCTTCAGTGGGGGGCAGGGTGTCGGCAGGAGCACTGCCACCTCCCCCTGAGCCCTCTGAGTGCTCATTAGCGACGGGTGAAATCCAGGCCAAAGATGGGCAGCAAAAACAAACCGCTCCATGGGCGGGGGAGGTCAGAAGGCTGCACCCTGGCCTCCTTGCTGAGCCCACGTGTCCCAAGGCCTCTCCAACTTCCTCTGGTGGAATTCTCGTGTTCCGTCCTCTGTTCTGGCTGCTCCCCAACAGATGCATGAGAATGAAGGGGTCTCCACACCTCCCTAGCACACCCCCTTCCTCCCACCCCACCCCACCCGCCCTGCCCCGCCGCCACTGAGATTTTTTACCCCAGGGTTTTCAAAGACCAGGCCATCCCACCCAGGAATTCTCCCTCTCACAGTCCTGGGGGGCGGGGGGCACGTGGTCACCCTTTGAGGTGGGTCTGGGAGCGGAGGGCAGCCGGGAACGCCGGGCCGGGGTCTGCTCACCCACCGTCTGCCTCCCAGAGGCAATGGCCTGGACTACATGGAGTTCCGCCTCTGGATCGGCCTGCACTCGGCCGTGCAGTGCCTCGTCCTGGTGGCCACTGACGCCAGCTTCATCATCAAGTACATCACCCGCTTCACCGAGGAAGGCTTCTCCACCCTCATCAGCTTCATCTTCATCTACGACGCCATCAAAAAGATGATCGGAGCCTTCAAGTACTACCCCATCCACACGGCCTTCAGGCCGGATGCCGTCACCACCTACAAGTGCCAGTGCGTCGCCCCTGACACAGGTGACCGGTAACCCCAGATGTGCCTCGGGGCCCGCCAGTCTGGCACAGGAACGTGAACCTGCTTGGGAGGGACAGATCAGCCAATCCAATCTGTCCTTGGGAGGGACAGACCAGCCAAGCCAGTGTAGGGTCCACCCCCACACACACACACTTTTGTAAGGAGGCCAGTGGGATAGTAGCTCTGTTAAGAGTCACAGCCCGGCCACCACCACGCCCCCGCTGCCGCCAGGGTACATTCAGGAGAGAGCAGGGCAGCCCAGGAGGGGAGGGCAGCACCCTTGGCCTCAGGGTGGAGAGCTGATGTGGAGGCTGCCCAGGGCTTCCTGCCCCTGGAGGGAAGCAGACTTGGTGGCGGCTAGTCCTTCCCAGCTCCGAGCCTGAGTGGCACTGTGAGCTGTCCCTGCCACCCTGCTACCCTCCGGATAAGCTACAGAGGGAGCGTGTCAGCAGAGGGCCGCCAGGGCAGAGGCCTGAGCAAGAAGAGCTGAAGATCTGGGGTTAGTCTGCCTCTCGGGATGCGAGCGCTGACCGAAGGGTGGTTGTATCACGTAGGGCCCACTCAGCTACAAATCCCAGGGGGAGGGCACGGGAGCAGGGACTCCAGGGAGCCAGGCACCAACTGGGAAGGACTGGTGCCCAGCGGGGTCCGCCATCAGGGCTCTCAGTCCCTCTGGGGGGTCGGGGTTACTTGGACACTAGCTGGATGGCCACCACCAAGAGTGTGGTGAAAAGGACTTGAGCACTGGGCGGAGGTTTCGGTCACTGGCCGGTCAGCTGCCCATTCCTGATGCCATCCCTGCGAGGTCTTTTCTGGACAGGACACGGCCAGCTGTGCAGCTGGACATCTGGTGTGAACTCCTCCTTCACAGTCCTAAGGCTGCCCCTCCGGGCTGTCAGCGGGCGTGCCCACAGGTCTACAAAGCCAGAGGTCCTCTCGCACGACTCCCTACACCCCCAGGCTGGACCCACAGGGAGCCAGCTGGGTCCACAGACCACCCAGGACCAATTGAACCTCTGTTTCCCTAGATATCAGAAAGGGATATCGATGCTCGCCCATCTCACGGGACATCTCCCTGTGACGTTTCCAAATCCAAACGCAGATTTAAAACAAACACAAAAGATTTCACTGCTGTGGAGTCCTTGAGACTCACAATGACCTGTAGAACAGGGTAGAACTGCCCCCCACCCCTCCCATGGGTCTCTCAGACTGTAACTCTTTACAGGAGTAGAGAGCCCTGTCTGTCTGGTGGTTTCAAACGGCTGACCTTGCGGCTCAAAGCCCAGCACATGGCCACGGCGCCACCAGGGCTCCTCTACCCAGAGGAGGATGGAGGAAATAAGCAGACATTGGGTTGTCCAGCCCCTGCATACAGGCCACCAATCAAATACATGCAGCCAACCAGACACTGCTGCCAGGCTGTGTAGGGGTGGGGCAGGGGTCCTACCCACCACAGTGTAAGCCGGGTGTCGCCCTCCTCCCTGGGTCATGACCATGATTTCCTGAAAATGTCTGGTCTTGTTGTTGTTGTTGTTTTCCCTATCATCAATGTGAGCAATTCCATTTAACGCCATCCCTTTCCCTGAGCCAGGCCACCTGCTTTCCCACAGCCTCAGAGAAAGCCCCACCTGCCCGCCGGCCCTCTCCATCCTGCGCCCCACGGCCACTCTGAGACTCAGCTGTCCGGGGAGGAGCCAGAGTCCAAGAGTTCCTGGGGCACAGGTGACGGGCGAGTACGTCACGTGGGAGCAGAAGGGCCTACGACCACCTGGCTCTGCCTGGTGTCCCCTCTGTCAGGGGCCTGAGGGGGCCTCACTCTTCTGGATCATGCCAGTGCTGTGGTGTGTAAGGGTGGGCCCCGGACCAGACCAGCAGCTTCAATGTCCTTGGGAAACTTGTTAGAAACGTACATTCTCCCATTTCCACGGAGGGACCCAGTGAATCAGAGACTCTGGGTGGGGCCCCGCCGCAGGGTCATAACAAGCCCTCCTCTCCAATTCGGATGCTTGCTCCAGTTGAAGAACGATTGTTCAATTGAGCTATTAGTGTAAAAAACAAAAAACCTCACTGCTATCAAATTGATGCTGACTGGTGGTGGCCCTCTAAAGCCGGGGAGAACTGTCCCTGTGGGTTTCTGAGACGGTAACTCTTTGTGTGAGTAGATAGCCACGTCTTTGGCCTGCAGAGCAGCTGGTGATCTCAAACTGCCAACCTTGCAGCCCGAGACCTAGCAGCCCAGGGCATGACGGGTTATGCCACAGCACTCCTTGAGCTGTTACTTTGTATCAGTCTGGGTGGAGTAGTGAAACAAATTCATGGGCACGCTCATCTGTATAGGAAAGAGCTTTATATCCAACAGCAGTTGAACATTGAGAAAACATCCCTGCCTAGTCCAGACCACGTCCATAAATACGATATTAGCCCATATGTCTGATACTAATCTATAATGTCCTCTTCCGACTCACAAAACAGATGCAATGACACCAAACGCAGGGAGATCACAGGCAAGTGGGTACAAAGTCTTGTAGATCCAGTGGCTATGGAAGCATCTCCATGTGGCTCCTCCAGTTCCCAGTCTATCAGCTTAGTGCCATGTGTCTTGTCAGTAGAGTGTCTCTCAGGGAGTGAGCTAAGAGAGAGTGTCTCCCACCTTGAAGGAGGAAATACGGGAGTTCCTCGAATCCTCAAGTGAAGGCCATGCCCACACAGAGGCCTCATTAGCTATGACCCGATTGACAGACTAGACTCCACCTCTTCACTCTTAATCCTCTCAAGTCCCAAATAGACACCAGATGATGTAACTACCGCATATTTCTTAACTACAAAAAAAAAAAAAAGATGAGGCAATTTCAACCCAAGTCTGCCAGAGGCCAGAGTAGCACTGTGGGTTGTAGGGTTTTCCAGGCTGATTTTGCAGAAGGTGATCACCAGGCCTTTCTTCTGAGGCCCCTCGGGTGGAGTAAAGGAACTGAAAACAGGACCAGTTAGCTCTGATTAGAAGATGGAAAGGAAAGTTGCAGAAATTCCGGTGACCGTGGAGGGGGCCTGATACTGACAGCCCCTTCTTTCCCAGTCTGCGGGCGCCTGCCTACTAATGGTTCCAGGAGACTAGTTTTGCTGCAAAACTAGGTCCCCAAACGTTGGCACATTAGCGGTCCCTGTCTCTCTTCGTTATCTGAACATGTTTGGGAGATCTCTCTCCAGTTCATAGAAATTGGTTTTAAGTTTACAGAAAAACAGCAAAAAACAGAGGGTCCCACCCCTTCCCCTCCTGCATCTGGGACACCACACACTCTCTTTTTAATTTTCATTTTGTTTCCATTGTAACTGATTTGTATTCTCTTTGTTGATGCTGCACGACTGACTTGGCTGCTTTCAATCCCAAGTGAGTACCACTTCCTAAACACTAGAGATGTGAAATATTTTAGACATAGGTCCTTTCTGGCATGTCCCATGTCCTAGTTCTCCCACCTTCACCTCAAAGGGACTTCCAGGTAAACAATACAAAGTTCTCGCGGGGAAAGACTATGTCAACCAGAACCAAGCACATGGAGAATGTCTGGTTCTAAAAGGAGCTTACTCTACCCCCTTGTCGGAGGCTCAAGCATCAGCTCTGTGTGTGTGTGTGTGTGTGTGTGTGTGTGTGTGTGTGTGTGTGTGTGTGTGTGTGTGTGTCTTCTAGCATTTTCTTCTGCGGCCGCCCTGAGTCAGCCTTCTGGCATATCCTCTCTTCCCCCATCCGCTTGTTCATCCTGTCCCCTCGGCCGTGGAGGGAGAAAAGACCATCAAAGTCTCTGATTTCTAGGAAGGAAAACTTTTGCAGCCAGTGCCCACGGAAACAGCAGTCAAGAAGTCAAATGATGGTACTGCGCAAATCTGCTGCAAAAGAGCTCTAGATTATGTTTAAAAACACAAACAAAAGAGATGTCTCGTTAAAATACTTTGTGGTAGTTACCTAATCTTGTATCAATTTAAGGATTAAGAGTGTACGGGTGGAGTCTAGGCTGTCTGGAGACAGCCAATGAGACTTCTGTGTGGTCACAGCCTTCTCTTGAGAATTCTGGGAAATCTGGTACTGCCCCCTTGGGAACAGAAGACACCTCTCTCTCTCTGCTACTGCCCGGGAGACATTGCAGAAGACTAGCCACATGGACACAACCAGACCTCAGAAGCCATGAGAAGCCACAGAGAGACCCCTGCTAGCACTGAGATGCTTACAACACCACTGGACCCAAAGACTTTCTACCCACTGGCTTGTGAGTGTCCTGCATTTGGCTTCACTGCATGTGTTTCGTGAGTCTGAAGAGGAATTTATAAATGGTATCAGACATGATGTTTTCTCAATGTTCAATTCCTCTTGTATATAAAGCTCTCCCTTATATACCTATGCGTGTTTATGAATTTGTCTCTCTAGTCTACCCAGACTAACACATACTTGAACCAAGCCATGTTGCTTTCCATCACCAAATATGCATGGCAGAGCTGCAGAAAGAGTGAGGAGGAGCGGAAGCCATGGCTGCATTTGACCTGTGGTGCAGGTGAGGCACAGCGAAGATGCCGTGGACTGCCAAGGACAAACAGATCTGTCTTGGAAGAAGTGGAGCCCAAATGCTCCTTAGAAGCAAGGACGGCCAGACTTGGTCACGTCAACCGTGGGCATGTTGTCCAGAGGGACCGGTCCCCGAGAAGGCAAAGGAGAAGGTCGCGATGCAAAGACGAAGCCCTCGATCAGATGTACGGACAGTTCCGGCAACAGTCGGCTCGGGCAGAGAGTGATGGTGAGGCTGGACCAGCGGGGCCTGTGAGGACGGGCCGCGTTTTGTTCTGTTGCACACGAGGCCCTTGTGAGTGACCACTGACGTGAGGCCTAACAGCAGCACGGAAATTTTTTTCAGAACAACTGCCACCGACTCATGGGCTTGTAGTGCTTTTAGGAATGTCCTTCCTCGGGGCAAGACTGAATCCCTTGGCCACCCCCAGCTGCCATGGGAGTCAGCGACCCAGAGCGAGCTTGCGGTTGCCGAGCCACCACCCCTGGGGGGAGCTTGTTGAAGGTGGGCAAAGCTTCAAGAAGAATCCTTTCTTCCTCTTGGGTTCTCAACCAGCAGGAGCCAAATGGAGCTTGAGATGTGAGGTCCTAATTTCTTTCTCAAGAACTGGTACCAGACTAGTCCCAGGGACCTGGAGAACAATGATGTCCTAAATGTCCGACTCTTCTGAGATGCAATTCAGCTCCATTACCCCCCACCCCCAACACACACACACACACACACACACACACACACAGCCTCATTATCACAACCAGAAAATCTGGTTTGGTGGACAAACCTCCCCAAAGCTGCTGCGGTGAACTACTCAGTGGCCTGCCACTTGGAAGAGGCAGGTGAGGACAGCCTGGCCTTTCTCCTCCACCCAAGCCGCACAGGCACAAGAGAGAGGGCATGCGGTGGCCCTCCGCGCCTGCCCGTTTAATGAGAGGCCACATCCCCTGACGATTGGGGGAACAAGTGAAGCAAGCCTAGGGGGCGCGGGAGGTCCTGCATGGGAAGCAGAGGAGGAAGGGGGGAGTTCCTCTCCATTCTTCTTGTGGCCCCTGAAGCTGGACACCGCCGACTGCGGGTGAACACCGACAGCAGAGCCTTTGCTTTCCTGCTGGTTCTGCAAGCCTGCACCCGGTGACATGTTTCTTGGCCTGCGTTTCCGGGGAAGCTTAGGAAGAGAATATCAAAGCCGGTGCATGCTTACAGGTTCATTGGACCATGAAAAAGCATGCGTGGACGAGAGTGGGAGGGAAAGGAAGTGTCCGTAGAGAGAGCAGCTCTCTTGGTAGAGACAGGAAGGCAGGGGGAGGACTCTGGGGCCACCTGCCTATGGTGGGATTGTGTCTCCACCCAGTCACAAGCAGTGTGGCCTCGGGCAGCAGACTCAGCACTCAGCCTCTCTGATCCACCTCAGTTACTTCAGCTGTCAAATGGGGACAGCTCGTGGGGATTTAGGAACGTAAGGTCATGTAAGGGTGTGTGTGTGTGTGTTAGAGTAGATTCTGTGTGTGTGTGTGTTTTAGAGTAGATTCTGTGTGTGTGTGTCATAGAGTAGATTCTGTGTGTGTGTGTGTGTGTGTGTGTGTGTGTGTGTGTGTCACAGACTACATTCCGGGGAAATGTTTTTAAGTCTCATGGAGAGAAGTGGGTCCACTGAGCTATGGGGCTTCCCAGGGCACCTTATTCAGAAGCTTGTCTCCTGCGTTGTGTTGGCGCTGGGTCCCTCGGCTCAGTTTGGGAAGCCAGCCCTATGTGTCAGACAGGGACACCCCAGCTGGCCCGCTGGTCTGTCAGGACTCTAGGCTCAGCCTCGGTGGCCCTCGGCAAAGGGGAGAGAGTGGCTGGAGCCCCACAATGAAAGCCTGTTCCTGGCTTCCCTTCTGGAGGGAGAGGCCACAGGTGGGCGCCTGGTGAGGGGAGGGGGGCAGGCTGTGGGCCAGCCCAGCCACCGCTGACCGGCCTCCTGTCCTGTGCTTATCCACAGTGAACACCACCACGTCCAATGCTTCAGCTCCGCGGGCTCCGAGCACCAATATTTCTCTGGTGAGTATTTCGCCTGGGCTGGAAGCTTTGAGGCTTTTTGTCGGTGAGAGGCCCAAGGAAAGAGTGGGGGAATCGAGGTCCGTTTGGGGCGTCCAATCTCGTGGAGGTCCTGCTTCTTCACCCCCGCTGCTCTCCGGGGTCGGACAGGAAACTTTGTACTCTCCTCTTCAATAGCCTGCCTCATCCTATTAAATCCACATGCGTCCAGCCTGCATACATTCCTATCAATTCACATGTACACACATACCAAAGCCATCAGGAATAATCATGAGTTTTGAAGGAAAGTCTCCACAGCGTTAGGTTTGTCTCTGACAATTCCCTCAGAAACTGACCAGTGACATTCACTCATGTTTCACATGGTAACAGCATTCTCGTTCATTGTGTTCCCTTGGTTCCATGTCCAGGACCTTAGTTTCCCTGCATCCACCGCCCCCCCCCAAGTACCTCAACTTTGCTTGGGATTCAGTGTCGACCTTCTAGACGTATGCAGGTGGTTCTGCAGTAGAGCACTGATCGTGGGTTTATTTTATATGTCGCTCTGCTAAGAGATCGTCTCGGGATAGTTTGGGTAGGATCTGAAGAGCGTTTGAGGTAGCCCTTCAGTCTACCTGCTGTTGTTCTACCGTTTTCTCCCATTTTAACCAGACTATCCGTTGTGCCCCAGTCAGATTGGTCAGTATTGTTGGTCGGGCACCATCTAGCTCTTTGGGTCTCAGAGTCATTGAGGTTGTGGCTTGTGTAGGCTATCAGCTTTGTAGACTTGCGATGTTGGCCGCCCTTCTTACTCTTTTGCTCCTAATAAGTTAAAACTAGTAGTTGTGTTTTAGAGGGCTGCGCACAAGCTTTTAAGACCCTAAGCACTGCTAATCTCACCAGAACAGGAGCTCTGTGAGCTACATCATGTCAATTGACTGAGCTGTCCCATGAGACTATGGTCCTAAGCCTTTAAATCTGAAAAACCAATCCTGGAAGATATTTGGTTATATCCTGTGGTTATGTCTTCAATGAATAGTTGTGTCTGCCTACACATGTCAAGATTTACACATACATATATACTTCTCTATGTTCTCACATGTGTATGCCTATACCTACCCATAGGTGTATATGCCTATACCTGTCCTTATTTAATTCTAGATTTATTTTTTGTCCTTTCTTATTAGTCTGGGTAGACTAAAGGAACAAATTCCTCTAGTTCATATATATATATATGATGTCCTAAATGTCCGACTCTTCTGAGATGCAATTCAGCTCCATTACCCCCCACCGATTGACAGACTAGACTCCACCTCTTCACTCTTAATCCTCTCAAGTCCCAAATAGACACCAGATGATGTAACTACCGCATATTTCTTAACTACAAAAAAAAAAAA